TTTTTTTTTTTCGGAACCAGGGATTGAACTCAGGCCCTTGCGCTTGCCAAGGAAGCGTTTATTCCACTGAGCCATCTCCCTGGCCCTTACAGGTGTTCTTGAAGGACTGTTGGGGCTTTTGAGTGCTCCTTCAGTTCCTGGGAAAGGTTAGATCACAGGAAGAACATTTTAGTCCGAGTTCTAGGTCTCTACAGCCTACCCCTGTAGTCTCTTTTGTACATGAGTGAGTTTAACATAAGTATTGACTGCAAAAGGCAAGGTGTCGGGCTGGTGAGATGGCTCAGTGGTCTAAAGCACCTACTTAGAACAAGTAAAGCACAGGGACCACGGTTCAATCCCCCAGCACCACATGCCAACCAGCCCCGCCCCCTGGTGGGCTGAGCTGGCCACACACACATACACACAAAAATAAATAAATAAAATTAAGAAAAAATTAAAAAAAAAAAAAAAAGGCAAGGTGTCAGGGGCTGGGGATATAGCTCAGCAGCACAACACCTGCTTGGCAAGCATAAGGTCTTGAGTTCAATTCCCAGTGTCTTGTACACACAGGCACACACACACAGAAGTCCAAAAAGGCAAGGTTTCAAAAAGGCCCCACCCAATGGATGAACAGAAAATAAATGGAGATATTTCAAGCTAGGCACAAATATGGGGACAGAAATGGATGAAAGGAGGTCCAGACAGAATGGCAGAGACAAGGGAGCTAGGGGAATGAGGAGTGCACAGTCAACCAGCTGGAAGGTTGTTGAGCAGGGATATGATGTAACCTGTGAGATGTAGAGGTTAGTCTCATCGAGCTGAGCCCAGTGACACCATTCCCTGCACTCCTCAGGTCAGCCTGAGGGTTCCAGTGTGTCTGGCTACAGCTTAGTATATATCAGCTAGTCCCCTCTCTGGCCACTGGTGGGGGCCATGATGCCTCTTAGGGTACTGCTCTAAACACCTCTGCTGTAGAGTCTTTGATTCCTTGTTAACCTCCCAGCCCCTGCCTCTCATAAGGGAGGGGGGTTGTAGCAGATTGTTTCCGTATCTTCCTGTCCTTCAAAAGATGAGGGTCCTGCCTTATTTGTCCATAGTTCACCCCTTTCAGCCCTGTGTCAAGCATAGTCTGTGTACACTGCCAGTAGGGTAGGATTTGTTGAGTTGGAATTACAAATCCTTTTAGTAGCTGTTGCACCACTTGAGTGTGTGGTTCTATTTTCTTGCTTTTAGTTGAAAGACTGGATTGCCCACAAAGGGAAGGATGTTCTAAAGGTAGTTTATGGTGGCTCATGCCTTCTGAATCCAATTTGAAGCTATGGAAATTTAAGAACATGAGAAAGATGAGTTGATTTGGGTGGGAGCGTGAGTGGGTGAACTTGACTAGGGAGGATTTGTTTGAGCTACTTTGGAAATACAGAGTAGATCTGGAGTCAGCAGTACCCAGTAGAGTTGAAAGTGGAAGGCGTGAATGTGAACTATGAAGGAGAAAGCAGAATAATGCTCACCCTTTGGATTGGCAGGGAAGAGGCTAACGGTGGAAACAAAAGAAGATGACGGTAGAGGCACTTTCAGGGAGGACCAAAGCTATAGGGGAAGAAAAGGCTTTGTTAAATTTGTCAGTGAGTAATGGTGTATGGCAGAAAAACGAAGATTGAAGGCTTAGAGTAGAGTTAGAACAGGCAATGAGCACTTGATAAAGATGGAGATGGGGCAGACTTCCTTGTAGAGAAGTTCGGGAGGTAAAGAGAACTATTAGAAGGGAGGGTAGGCAGTTTTATATTTGCCTTGGAGGAGTTAGGGAGAGGAAAGAGCTAAAGATACAGAAAGTAAACAAAGGGCACAGACATGGGGGAGAGCATGAGGTCAGAACAAAGGCAGGTGTAAGAGGCAAAGAAGGAACACACTTTGGGCCTGGCCTGAAATGAGGGAATGAGAAGTGGGAAGAAGGCACCGTGTGCTCTGGCCTAGTGACTCTATTCTCCAAGAGGATACAGTAGAGCTCTGGAAGTGTGGACAGTGGCATTTAGGGCAGCCTGGTGCCCAGGCCTACCTAAAACAATCATCCCATTTCCTAGAACCATGGATTGAGGACTGGCCAGAGATGGATCATCCATTCCAGGGAAGCCATAGGCAGCCCCCAGACTTCGGGGAGCAACTGGCCTTGCCCCCACCCCTGCCCCCTCCTTTACCCCCTCCCATGTCTTTTTCCTACCCTCTTCCACAGCCTTCTCCACCTCCCTTGTTCCCACCCCTGCCCCAGGATGCCCCTTTTTACCCAGGCCAGCCCTTCCCACCTGAGGAATTCTTCAGTTATAATCCAATGGAAGACTTCTTGATGCCTCCCAATTTAGGTATGTGCCTCTGCAGTCTCCTGTTGTACCTCTCCTTTGCACTCTTTGCTCTCACTCCTGAGCCCAGCTTCCCGTGCCAAGGTGTGCTGAGAGGAGCTAGGTACCCCGTGTTCCTTCAGGACTAAGTTCAGTTATAGCAGTGCCTTAATTTGGAACAGCTTCTCCAGACTCAGTCAGCCTATTGATTGTCAGCTTCCCATTCGGGAGGTAGGGGAGGAGGTGCTGTGTGGTGCAGATAGAAACACTAAGCCCAGAGACATTCGGTCTGTAGGAGCAAAGCTGCTCACTCTGGTCAGAAGCCCACTCCCAATAATGACTGGTTCTTTTGTAGGGTGTGGCCCTGGAGCGAACTTTGTGCCTGGCCCCCTGCCACCTCAAGTCCCTGGCTCTGTCTCCCATGGTCAGCATCGGAGCCCATTGGTCCACCGGGGGATGCCACGCTGTGTTCCCAACAGCCCTTACCATGTGCCAAGGTCGGGGGCACCCTGTAGGCAGCGACTCAGGCATTCAGATAGACTGATCCACACGTGCAAACTGGACAGGCGGGGACATACCCATTCAGGAACATGGCCTGTATAGACTGGGTTTTGGACTGCGGTTGGATGTGCCATCGGTCCTGCAGGGCCTAGATGGCACACAGGTGCTGGGCCAGGGTGTCTGTTATGCCTGGCATTTTTGTTGTCCATTGCTGTTACCAATAAAGGCATGGAAGGACAGAGTGACATGTTCCTATGTAAGGGAGTGTGAGTCTTCTAAGCCACCATCTTAAAAAAGTTGGGGTTGCTGCTTCTGGACTTTCTTGAGTCTTGGACTTTTGATCCTGGCCCCCTGCCACCTCAAGTCCCTGGCTCTGTCTCCCACACTATTTGGAAATCATGCATTGTGTTCTAGCATTCATTCCCACCCTTGGCAGTTAAGGGCATGTAAACGAGGTCCTGGATTGATTCCCTGCTCTCAAGCACTCATTGCAACTGGGAAAAATCAAGAGCTGAGTTGGAAATGTCAGTATTTTTTTTGAATTTTGGATCTGGATAATTCTTATCTATACTTCCCAGTCACATAGAATGATGTGTACTGTCAGGATCCATCTCTCCCTGGAGATAGATACATACCAGCCAGGTGTGGTGGCACTTACCTGAAATCCCTGCACTCATGAGGCTGAGACAGGGATTGCTGTGAGTTTGAGATCAGCCTGGTGTACACAGTAAAACTTTATCTTTAAAAAAAGAGACACATAGCCTGTTTTGCATAATTCTTGGCACACAGACGGCATTCAAGTGATTGGAACTAAACCAGAAGATCCCAAATCCAAGTAGGAGACTAACTAGAAACTCTTTATTTACTTGAATCATGTGCAGCGGAAACAAAGCCAAAGACTAATTCTTTGGTCAGGGGACACAGATGAACTAAAGAAGAAATCCAAGGAGTGCAGGCCAAGGATTGTAATGGAGAGGCTGTACAGAACTCCACAGAAGTTAAGAAAAGTCAATGGAGTACGAGATCTCAGCTTTGACAAGTGGTCCTGACTCTGGAACATTGGTAGTGGCTGGAACATGGGGAGGGGAGAGAGTAGAGCATGGTATCGGGCTGATAAGTGAGGCGGGGACAGGAAAATAAGGTAGTATGAAGATATGTTAAATAACCTTGAGGTAAAATGATAGAGTTTGGGTGCTGGCTTTTCATTCTTGTTACTGAAACCTTGGCATAGGAAATTAACATCTCACCCAAAAGGAGACAAAAATAGGTTAGAAAGTGTTGATCCTGGCTAGCAATCTATAAGAATAAATGCAAATGAGGGGAAGTGGTTCACACACAGGGGTGCTGAGAAAACAGTCAGTATAAGCTAATAAAATCCCTTAGAGGAACCAGATGAAACAGACAAGGATGCCAGCATGGTGCCTGAAACAAATATGTCTCATTTCTTGTTACTGCAAGGGGACATACAGAGCTAAAAGAAAGTTGTGTTTGCAGGACAGGGATTGGTAGCCAGGGTCTCATGTGTACTAGGAAAGTGCTATGATGCTGAGCTAGGTCCCTGTTTTATTTGGAAGTAGGGTTTCTAAATTGCCCAGGCTGGTCTCAAATTTACATTCTTCCTAGGGTTTATAGGCGTGTACCACCAAGCCAGGCTGGGAAGCTTTAAAAAAAAATTAATGGAGATGAGTCTGTAAATTACTTTCTTTGTGAAAATTGATTATTCTCTTTCCATTAACAAGACCCACCCTTGAAGCAGCCCTCTTCCCTTGCATGCAGTTTGCCCACTCCTTTCTCATTCCTGTATGATTTTGCTTCTCTTTTTCTCTGTCCGGACAGCTTGTGCCCGATTCTGGGACTTCTCAGTGTTGCTGGAAACTATATATGGTTTGATTTGTAGGAGAAAGTGCTGAGTTTCTCAGCCTTACTGAGCCTTCCAGGTTACATTGCCATTCTATTCCCCCAAGAATTCCCTGTTCCCTTTCCTGCTTAGCTTTTCTAAGGTGTTTCCTCTTGCTTCAAAGTCGTTTAGATTTTAGAGCTCTCTGGAGGTAGCCTGGAGATGGTGTAATGTGCTCAATACTCTGTATTTTACTTCTGTATTTAAAAGTCCCAACCCATTTGGCTATGTGGCCTACATCACCCAAAGTGAGATTTTTTGGGGTTTTTTTAGTGTCATATTTTTTGAGGGGGACGGAGGGGTTTGAGATGGCTCTCTGTAGTTCAGGCTGGCCTTGAACTCACTGTGTAGCCCAGGCTGGCCTTGAACTCATGGCAATCGTCAAGAATCCTCCTGCCTCAGCTTCCCAAGTGCTGGGATTTTAAGCATATGCCACCACACTTGGCATAAAATTTGATGAAATAGTAAACAGTCTGTGTCTGTCTGTCTGTCTGTCTGTCTGTCTGTCTGTCTGTGTGTCTGTCTGTCTCTCTCCTCTCTACTTTCTACTCTCTCTCTCTCTCTCTCTTTGGTACAAGGAATTCAGGACTTGTGCTTGCTAAGAAGGCACTATGTCACTGAGGTATCTCCCCAGCCCAGTAAATATTTTCTTTAAACTTGAAATATATTAAGAAATAAAAGAAAATAAAGTGTTTTCAGTTTGTTGTCGTATGACCATGTAGTACAAGAACTAAAACTTTGACTCTTCTAGCTAGGTGAAATGGTGCACACCTATAGTCTCAACACCCTAGAAGGCTAAGGCAGAAAGATACCAATTTAAAACCCAGCCAGGGATGGACTGGGAGATAGCTCAGTGGTCTAAGTGCCTGCTTGGCAAGCACAAGGACATAGGTTTGATCCCTGGTACCACAGGCCTTGCTGGCTATGGCCACCAGGCGTAGTGGCACATGTGCTGTGTAGTGAGACTCTGTACCAAATAAGTAAAAGATTTTTTTTTTTTAATCCAGCCAGGACAATTTAGCAAGACCCTGTCTCAAAAAACAGTTGACTCCTCTGTTACAATATTCAAATATGGGGCTGGTGAGATGGCTCAGTGGTCTAAAGCACCTACTTAGAGCAAATTTAGCAAAGCACAGGGACCACGGTTCAATCCCCCAGCACCACATGCCTGCCAGCCCCGCCCCCTGGTGGGCTGAGCTGGCCACACACATACATACACAAATAAAATAAAAATTTAAAAAAAAAAAAAAACTCTATTCAGATATGACTAGGAACTCAAAAACTGAAAATAGGTTATAGGTCATCATTTGCATTTAAATTATTTGCTGGTTTTGAGATGCAAAAATAATGAAAATCTTAGGCAGCTAGTGCAGAGGTCCACTACTGGCTCCTGAAGCTGCACAAAACTCACACTTCATTGTCTCAGAAAATATTGATAGGGCCGGCCTGAGTTCATTCCCTGGTTCCAAAAAAAAAAAAAAAAAAAAAAAACGAACGAACATTGATAATGGATCACAGATGTTCAGTAAGACAAGTTTTTTGTTTTAAAAGGTCTTGTTAAGTTGTAAAATCATCCAGGTTAGCCTCAAATTTATGATCCTCCTGCCTCAGCTTCTCAAAGTGCCAGGATTACAAGAGTGTGCCACTTTGTCAGATTCACTGCTTTTTTGGTGAAACTGGGGGCACCAAGGGCACTTTACCACTGAGCTATGCCCCCAGTCCCATCCCCCCTTTTGGAGACTTGGTCTTTCTGAATTGACCTGGCAGCATTAGAACTTGGAATTCTTTGGCTTTAGCCTCATTAAGTGCTGCGTTTACAGGTGAGTCCCATGGTACCTGACTTGACCCGATTTTTTAACTTGATGTGCAATACTGTGGACCTGGAAAATAGTTATCATATAAAAGTTTTGACAGCTGGGCATGGTGGTGTATCCCTGTGTTTCTATAATTCCAGCACTCGGGAGGCTGAGGCAAGTGGATCACTGTAAGTTCGAGGCCAGTTTAAGATACATAGTCAGGACTGTCTGGACTACATAGTGAGACCTTGTCTGGAATGAATGAATAAATATTTTGAAACTATCCAAACTGACAGAGATCATGTTGATCTAAAAGACAGATGTTGCTGGTTGTAGTGTCACATACCTATAATCCCAGCATTCAAGAAGCTGAGGCAGAAAGATTGATGTGAGCTAGAGGCCAGCCTGGGCTACATAGTTCAAGGCAAATCTGAACTACACAGTGAGACCTTGTCTCAAAAAATAAAAAATAAAATAAATGTAAAAACCAAATACTTTTCTCCTAACAACAGGAATAAGTCGAGTATATTCATTCTCACCATTTCTATTTAGTGTTATACTAGAAGTGCCAACTACAGGACAGACACAAAAAACAAGTGGAGAACAAGAATATAAACTTTTTATTTGCAAACAACAGGATTGTAGAAAATTAATGGAATCTACAAAAAAGTACAAGAATTATAAGTGAATTTAACAGTTGTTAACATGTACATGTCAGGATTATGATATTCAATATACAAATTTCTCTGTCCTAAAAAAGAATAGTCAGAAACAGGAAAAATTTAAAATAATCCCACTGACAATAACAGCAATAAGCATTTAGGGGTAAATATGACAAAAGATTTGAAAGACTTATACACTGATAACTACAAAATATTGCTGAGAAAAGTTAAAGACTTTAATGTATGATTAGTCTGCCTAAGGGTTAGATATGGGCCAGGCATATTAAGATGTAATTTTTCTCCATATTCATTTATACATTGAATAGAAAGAATCACAGTAAAAATCCCAACAGTAAAAAAAAAAAAAAAAAAAATCCCAACAGTTTTCCAGACAGTAAATAAGCTGATTTTATTTTATTTATTTATTAACAAGCTGATTTTAAAGCTCGTACGGAAACAGGATTTAGAATAGCTGCTTTCTGTCTTATTTATTTATGTATTTGGTAAAGGGTCTTGCTACTCGGCTTGAATCCCAGTGCTGCGATTACAGGCATGCACCACCACACCCAATTTCAGGACTGGCACAGAGTGCCCTGGGGTTCCAGGGCTGCAGGGCATATGGGTCTGTGGATCAAACCCCGGTCCTTGCACTTGCCAGGCAGGCACATACACTGCCAAGCTATCTCCCCAGCCCTAAATTAGCTGCTTTCACACAGGTAGTATGGCAGAGTGGCCTAAATGCTGAATTTGGCATAGCCAATTTCAAGGCTTACCATAAAGCTACAGCCAGAGGATGTATCATGGGCATAAAGATAAACAGACCAGTGGAGCAGATTCTAGAAATAGAACTGCACATACAAAGACAAAATGAACTTCAGTGAAGGTGCAAAGG